TCACCGATTAAATTCGGGAGAGCGTATTTTAATTGGTGATAACAATTATTTTTGTTTTTGCGTGGATTAGAATGAATAGGGGATCAACGAATTGATTTTGTTATTAGCGAATAATTTTGGGTAAAGAAGATAAAAGTTTATTTAAATAAAATATTACTATTTTATTTATTTAGTTTTATTTAGTCGAAACTAATTAACTTGTAACAAAGTTTTCCTTAGTCAAAACTAATTAACTTATAACAAAGTTTTCCTTAGTTGAAGCTAATTAACTTATGACAAAGTTTTCCTTAGTCGAAACTAATTAACTTGTAACAAAGTTACTTTTACATTAGATCGAAATCAAGTTCTTTATATACATGTTCTTTACATATTAGCCCGAATTGGGCGAATCTGCCCACTTTATATTTGAGAGATTCCGCCCGGTCTGGGATAATCGTCATTAATCTCTACTAAATAAAGTTAAATAAATATGAATGTGCTACGGATTAATTAATAAAAATTAAATAGACGGGACGTAACGCGAATTCAGATAATAATAATTATACACGTTATTAATAAATAAATAAAATTAATAAAATAAAAATAATAAAAATAAAAATAATGAAAATAAGAATAGATAATAAAAATAAAAAAATAAAAATAAAAATTTAATTTGACCCGAAATTAAAGGATTCGGCCAAATTATCTTCGTCATCGTTTAATTCTGGTAACACAATTATCACAACTATTGGAAGAAGGAAGGAACGGAGTATATACTATATCCTGTTGGCATGCTTGTTAGGTCTACTTTGCCAAAAGTAGGAAGTTTATAAGTATTTTGAGTCATTCTTTTTTTTTATTCGTTGTTTTTTTGAAGGTGGTGGCTCATTGCTAACTGAATTTATCTCTTTGTTGTTTTTACAAATATTTTGAAATTGTAAAAGAAGAAAAAGAGAAGTTTTGTCAGTTAGAAATTCTAAATCTTGTGGTGTATATGGATATCGGTGAGTAGTTGAAAACATTCCATGAAAAGTTGAATATTTATGATAATCTAAAAGGTAAGCTTGCTTTATTATATTATCAGAATTATCATTTGGTGATGTTGTGGCATGTATTCCACTATGCATATTTTCAATCCAATAATCATTAAATTGAATTAAATATTTTTCAATTGCTTCTCTCATTGGATGACTTATTTTTTCCCAATAAAATAGATCTGATAAAAATGCTAGTGGAGCTTTATTATAATTCTTCTGTTTCCAGCAAAAGGCAAAAGTCCAGATGTGAAAGATTGTTTCCACATAGTTCTCAAATGATCCAGATCAAAAGAGAACAGCATATACATCAAGAGCTGCTGGTATAATATTATCTAATAGGTCTATAATAATTTGGTATTCAGAATTCTTACACATTGAATAGAATTTTGTTACTATATGCTTTTAATTTTAATCCATGCAGTGAATGCTAATTCTAACAAAAGATTTATCCTCCATGGTCTAGGTTTCTTTGCAAGTACTTTTTGGTTACCAAATACAAAAGAGCATAGTGGACATTTGATTTCATTGGCTAAATTATGTGACAATCTCCCCTCCAGATATCACGCAAAAATTAAATTTTATTGGCTTGAAGATCGTTACGCAAATTTGAAAAACAAATATTAATATCGGAGGGAAGGAAATTTAGTTCCAAATTGATAAAAATAAAATGTTTATAATAAATAAAAAAATTAATATAGTATTTTCTTTATTGAATGTTTTTAATACACAGGCTTGGTTTTTTGTTATACAGTCTAATATATCATTTACTTTTCAACTTTTCATTGACTTCATCAAATCAACGTTTTACTTTTGATCATGAATTGTTATCCATTATATAATACTATATATATATATATATCTGAAATTTCCTATAATTAAATAAATTGGTGATATGAATATGAATGAATATATGAATTTTGAAAATAAAAATAAAAATAAATGTAAATATGTAAATATATAAATATAAATATAAATATAAATATAAAAGAAATATATTTTAAATATGTTTTTTAAATTGTATACATCACTTTATAATTGCACCCTGAGTATATCTATTGTTGTTATTTAAAAATCCTTCTTGTTTTTTAAATGCATCATTAAAAAATCAAGAAATAACATTCTCTAATTCTGTAATTAATCAAAATACATAGGTGACCTACTTTCAAAACAATTCTCTTGAATAAAAAAGAAAATAACAATTAACTCTCAAATCAATACCAAAAATCATTTGTCAGTAAGATTTCCTATTCAATCTTACACATAAAACAATTTTGTTTGTTATCAATCACCTTTTTTTAAAAATTTTTTTTTTAGAGATTAAATTATATATATATGCATTGTAATAATTGAATATTTATTAAACCTCTTGCTAGTAATGGTTCCTCTAAAGATATATATGCATGTGTGTTTAAATAATTTTTTCACTATATATAATAAATAAAATATTATCCAAAATTTAATATATCAAGTTTATATAACAAAAAAAAAAATAAATAATAATATTTACAAGTGAGAGTTTATCTTCCATCACAAATAGCTTTCTCACATTTTTCTTTCTCTTCGTCTCTTGTCAATGATAATGATGTTGTGATCAAAGAGGACGAACAAGAAGGTATAACATTAATACATGGTCATGGAACTTTATAAAAAGGGTGTTGTCTCAAATATAAAATCCTATATAATAATAATGGTTAATGATAATTTGTTACATTAAATTAAAATGAAGAAATGATTATTTCTGAAATGCTTGTATTGGTAAGATTTAAATAAACATATTATAAAACAAAAATGCATGATTCTGAGCCTAGAATGTCTTACAATATACTTACATTGATCACTAAAGCTTGAAATATAGCTCCTATGTAACCCTTCAAAAGCAACTTAATTATTTGATCATTTTTCACACACATACTGAGAACATAGAAAGCAAAATATACATGTTAAAAAATTACATCTCAGGTTAAACAAGTTTTTGTGCGCAGCCATGAGACTTTTTCTATTCTAAATTCAATTGAAGTCACATGTTTCACAACATAAAAAAGATCAATGATCAATTTTGTCACATGTGATAAAACGAATGTCCACTATGCTGTGGTGGTTATCGTCATTTGTTGCAAGTCTCTATCATGAACCTGATATGCTACAAATCTCCCCATAGGCTATTAATTTGACCAAGAAGATTTGCATGAAGTGGGGGATTTGATGTAGAGCTTAACCCAAACAATAGCTTAGGTATTCATTGGTCATTGTAAGTTGTCAATGTGTGTTTGCTTTTCTCCATTGAGTACTTGCAAAATTGCAGCAGACACCCATTTAAAGTCAAGCTATTTATTCAGCTTGTCTACAGGCTTTGAGTTTGATGATAATGTGACATAGTAATTTCTTCGATTTCCATTTTTGGAGGAATCAAAGAATCTTCCAGCAGCGAGTTTTGTTGAATGATTTTGATTATATTAATATATATATTTTTTTTTGCAATCATAATATGATTTGTAATTCTTTTTTTCAAATTAAAAAATCACGGAAAAGAAAAACTATGGAAAGCACACCTACTTTGTTTGCCACAAGTCACATAAAGTATGTTTTTTGGATTAAGCTTTCTGATGACCACAACTACAGACTAATTGTAGTAAAAAATTTACATTGGATAGAACAGGTCTACAAATAATATCGTTTCAATATATTCAGTTCCAAGATTTGTATTCCATGCAATGCAAATGTCTGCTGCCAGCTTTATTATAGGAATTGGCAGCTTGATATATATAAATTATAAATTTATAGATTGTCTCTATAAACAAAGTGAAAGGCATGTATTTAAATATTAATTCATTGATATGATATTGTAGATATGGCAAATTGGAGCTCTGAATTTCTTACCAATGATGTAAAATCTGCAATAGGATTGATAGGCGGATTAACAAATATGAATATTGAAATAGGAATACCAGACTTTGTAAAAAAGATCTTTTCTAAAAATCCAACTCAATCAACATCATCAAATTTATTAAAAGTTGATTCAGATAGGTCCAGGTTTATCAAAAAGGAGGATGAAGATGGTTCAAGATTATCTGGTGGTGGTGGTGGTGGTGGTAGTTCACTGCTTCATTATTTATGACTGGAGAAAAAGATAGTGATGAGAATGATGCTAAAGACTTTGGAGTATATAAGAAAAGACGTGGTTTTCCAGTGCAAAATGATGAATTCATGTTGCTTACAAAAAATAGATAAAAGTTTATAATATTTTAATGACATTGATCATAAAGAAGCATTGAATTTACCAAGTATTATTAGTAATTGGTTGGTAGCCAGGGTTCTGGTAAAAGTTATGTATTAGAAGCAATTGTTGGACATGAATTTTTTTGCCAAAGTTCAACTTTTTTATTTTTAAATATATTAGGAAATGTGATGGTGGTTTTGGATTGATTAAAAACTCTACAGAAAACATCCAATCCAGCAGGATTGAATAAAACTCAATGCTATGAAGGTGGAAAAGGCTTTCAATACTTGGATATCAAATCAATTTTTAAAATTTATTTTAGAAAATTAAATGGTATCCCAACTAAAGTTTTTAGTGTGGGGAACTATAGAAGAAAAGTTGTGGGAACAGCTTCAAATTTGCCCCAGGTTTTTTTCAATCCTGGTATGTTTTATCAAGAATTATTGCCATCTGTTATAAATATGTAATTAATGCTAATTTATTAATTGCTAAAATTATATATTCATAAATATTTATACATATGTATGTGTGAAATATAGTAAATCAAGGATCAGCTGAAGCAAGACATTAAATTGCAACAGATTGTTTGAAAAAGAAGGGCAGGTTGGAATTTATGATGCTATTAATATAATGGAAGAAAGACATAAAGAAATAAGTGATGTTCTAATCAGTCATAATGTAAATGTATATATGTGATTTTTCATTGGTATTTTGGTTTGTTTTTTTTTAATGGGATTTTTTATATTAATATATATATATATATTGAATTAATTGATTCTAGCCTCTTTTTTATTGGTAAATGTTATTTATATATATAATTTATAAAGAATCTTTTTTTTTAATAACTATTTTTTAATTTGTCATATTTTTTTTTTTAATATAAGAATCAATATGTGAAAGACCTGAGATTATCAAAGCAAATATTAGAGGTGTAAAAATTACTTTGTCAGATGTAAATAATTTATTTTAATTAATCAATTGATTAAAAGCAATGTAACTAATTGCTAATAACTAGTGGGTCTGATGTTTCCACTCCTTCCATTTCTTCAATTGGTATTTCATTAAACATATACTGTTCTTGATATTCTTTTAGGTAGTTTACTGATCGTTTTTCATCTAAAAATAAGCTATAGACACGTCTTATATCTGAAACTTCAACATTGCTAGCCTATCATTAATATTAAATAAAAAATTAATAAAAAAATTATTTTTAATTCCTTCAAAATAATACATAATAAATATATTGATTGTTATTTTTTGCCTTTCGTTTCTTGGAAACAAGATGTGCTGCTGCAATCAAATGAATTGCATATCTTAATGAAGTCTCCACACCAATTTTTGTCAAAACATCACAAGCTTCATCAGCCATTGTTACATCTTCTTCCTGGCAACTATCAAAAGGGAGTTTTATTTAGTAGATTTAAAAAAAAAGAAAAGTTTCTTAAAAAGAAAATTTACCGAATAATTAAAATTTGTTTAATTTCTTCTTCAACATATCGTACTGTGCTGATAATTAATAATCGATCCAACAAATCAATTGGAATTCCATGTGGACTCTTATATTTTGTACCTCGAATTCTTGTAATTCCACGGTTTGAAGCCATAATAACAATAGGTGATCTTTCATCTTCAAGAGCACGATTTAAAAATGAAAAACATTCAATATCAAGGATATGAACTTCATCAATAAAAAGCACCTACAATAATAATAATAATAATTAAATAATATTTATCTTTGCAAAAAAAAAAATCATTTGACCAGGTTAAACACCTTACACCAGGAATAATATCTGCCTTTCCTTCTTCCCTCCATTCAGATACTTTTGTGTTTATTTGTTCCCGGACTTCAGATTTAATTTCCCCAGTGTCACCTATTTATAATAATTATAAATTTAATAATTATACAGTCAATATTAACAAGCAATAATTTACTAATAACTAAATCCATTTTAAAACATACCAGAAAATAAAGCCAAAAATCCTTGTGTTCGGCTATTTATAACATCAATCTCATGTAATGATACAGTATGTACCACTTCTCTCCGTTTTTGCAATTCACCTTCAGGGCATTGTACAAACTTTGTCTAAATTATAATTACAATATAATTAATAAATTATAATAATTTTCTATTAATCCTATGAAATTAATTAGTCAATTAACTTACATCTGGTCCCATTGCATCATAATCTCTTGCCCGAGTAAATGATCTACCTAATTTTGAAATTTTACCCGAAGCTTTATCTAATGCAACAACATCACTAAATTTATTTGTTAATCAATAATTACAATAACATTGATATATATTGAGTAGAATTGGTTGAGTTGTAATACCCTGCCATAATTTTTTCCTTGTTCAATGAATCTATCATCTTGTGACCCAATTCATATACAGTTTCCATGTCTGTTGTCTTCAATGTGAGTTTACCAGTCTTAATTCCCTATGTATTATTTTATTATTATAAAATAGTAGTTAAATCTCATAGGAACCTGCATTATAAATAAATAAACTATATATATATGAAAAACTTACTCCTGTGATAGAAGTATCAACTTGAATTTCAACAACTTCACCTTCTATAAATTCAGTTTCTTCTTTTATACGCACAGCAATTGAACGACGAAAAGCTTGTGTAAGTGCCTCTGTCTTGGACATTTCTAATGAGAAGATTTCTGAAGCTGCAAGTGTTGTAAATGGAATATCTTTTCCTAATGCTTGTGCCATGCCTAAAATGATGATTCAATTATTTTACTTGGACTATTTGTAAACTAATCTTTCTCCTATCAACCTATCAAAAGAGAAAAATATATACCCATTGCAATAGCTGTTTTTCCTGTTCCAGGGGGCCCAGCCATTAACATCGCACGCCCCGCCCCCTTCCCCTCCTCTACCCTC